CAGCACAAACTGTCCAGTTCTTTTTCTCCCAAAAACACCTTACAAGAGGAATGCTGAAATCCACAGCTGCTTAAAATATCTCTCTGCATTAGGATGTCAGTAATGTCAGATGACAGCAATTCAGTGCCCTTAATGGTTGTCATTGTCCAGCGCCAGCCTGTTTAAGTGGAAGGAATTTTTTAGATGAGACAATTAGTCCCTTTGGCACAGGCTTTTCCCTGTCCAGCTGATTTGAGAATGTCTGCTGAATGTCCATACCTGGCCTTTTTAACCTTTAGTTATGTGGATTTTGCCTCAAGATCACAATGTCCAGCTTGTGAAGTGAAGTGACGTGGCCAAGTATGGTTACCCATACTCGGAATTAGTGCTCTGCATTTAACCCATCCTAAGTGCACACACACAGCAGTGAACACACACCGTGAACACACACCCAGAGTAGCCATTTATTGTTTTTAAACGTGCAAGAGGGCAGCCCGGGGAGCAGTTGGGGGTACGGTGCCTTGCTCAAGGGTACCTCAGTCGCAGTATTGAAGGTGGAAGAAAGCCAACATTCACTCCCCCAACCTACAATTCCTGCTGGACCTGAGACTCGAACTCGCAACCTTTGGGTTACGAGTCCGACTCTCTAACCATTAGGCCACAACTTGTGAACTAAACATAAGGAATAGTTGGGCTAAAAGTGAAAATTATGTCATTATATGTCGTTAGTTTACTGTTATTTTCCATTAAACATAAAATGTAATTATTTTTTCAATTGTTACGCAAGCCTTGACATACAACAGTGCCACAAAGACAAAAAAAACACCAATAAAGCACCATAAAATATTCCATATTCCAACACACAGGTTTAAAATGAAACAAGTTATTACCGAATTTTAATTTTTGCAACCCAGGCTCATTGCAAATACGTGCCTGTATTAACATTTGTGAAAAAAATGACATAATAACACTTACAATGTGAAATATCCAGTGAGTGGCACTAAAAGTCTGTTCAGTTTTATCCGAAACAGATTAATGGGAATCTGGCAACACTTTATAATGCTGGTTGTTGTTACTATCGCAGTAGTTCGGAATTAAATTGTCCAGTGAGAGGCACTAAAGGTTAATACTCTTTCACGTTTAAAAACAATAAGGTACCACCTACAGTAAACAGACAGGTTAACCAAAACAAACATCAAATAAAAACATTTGCTGAAGCAATCATGTCATTTTAGCTTGCTTCTACAAGTCTTCGAGCTCTTTTATCATGTCTTCACTCCGTGTTACAAGTGCAATGCAGTACCAGGTGAGCCACCGAGCAAGTTTACTATGTTAGAAAAGCAATGGATATGGAGCTGATTATTTAATGCAAATGTCAAAAGGTATTCATTTCCAAACATGTACTATGGTAAAAGAGTTTTGAGATCATAACAGCTTTTTTCCAAGAAACCACACAGAAATAAAGGCCCGTTCACACCAAGGACGATAACTATAAAGATAAGGATAAAGATATAGTTCTAAAAAAATCTTTCTCAATATTAAAGAATAGCAGAGTCCACACCACAGCTATAATGATAAAGGCACAGAGAAACGATATCGTTGGAATCACAGCTGACGAACGATGCAAACATTGACACCCAATCAGAATCCATCCTGCTATAACGAGCTCGAGAATTTAAAGCGGCAGACGCGTGTGCGCTTAGAATAAACAGTCCACTGGTGTGGACGCTAATATCATTATCTTTATAGTTATCGTTCTTGGTGTGAAAGGGGCTTAAGCCTTTTTAATGTATAATCTGCTTATGTAATCATAATTCGTGTGAAAGAGAATAAAAGATGTTGGTGTTTTGCTGCCTCTAGTGTTGATTTGGGCTGGGTACTGCAGTGAATTGTATGGATACAATGGGAATGTTTTTAGAATTTCACAAAAATGTAGTTGGCATGTTTTTCCAACGAGCCTATGTTGCATTTTTGAGTGAACTCGTTTTTTTGATACAAGGAGTACTGACCTTCACTTATAAGGTAAACATGTGTCTGGTTTTCCTCTTCCCAGCCCCAGCTGCCCACTTATTTTGACATGAGCAGTTCCTGTGCAGCTCCACATAAGACAGGGCTGCTTTATGTGGAAGACAATGAGGAAATGACCTAGCATGCGTGTGCATCTGAGGACATACAGATACGGGCTCTCCCGATGAAACCGAGAGAGAAGGAAGGAGAACGAGAGAGCGGGAGAGTGAGATGACATCATGGCAAAGTTAGGTAGGAGGATGGAGAAGTCCTGTAATGCAACACTGTAGATAAACATGAGACAGCTGTATTTATGAGATCTAGGACTGAAGGCCTTCCCAGCTTTTGTGCAGGACGCATTATCTGCTTTGGCAAACCGGAAAGCGACAGTCTCCAACGTTCAGCCACCAAAGAAGGATGTAAGGACTCCACATGTCCAACGGTGGTCTCCAGTTTACGATAATGCAGCAACTGGCTACTAGCAAGCTAATATCGGATGAAAGAGGGACAGTAAACATTTTCTGCCCTTTTAATAGAAACAGTTGCATAGACAGCTGTCCAAAACAGAATTAGGAGACAGACGGTGTCTCTGTGGTGTCTTCAAACCCCTTTGTGCACAGCTTCTTTAGTTCAATTAAGTCCAGATTATAATACTCATAATCTTATTATAAAGCAGGTATTATTTGTGGTCAACCCAAATAATAAACGCATAGTTGTGTGTTCTTATGATGAAATAGTCAAAGGTTTTTCTGTTTAACATGAGAAGCTAGTGCAAAACAGACTGCACCTGCTAAAGCTAGGACAACAATAAAGAGATAAATATACTCAGGTCGATTATTAGTAATCTTGTCCTGACTGATATACAGGGGCGTAGATTACGTGGGGGACGTGTGTCCCCCCCACTTTTAATATCACGTAAATTCGTCCCCCGCACTTTTTCGGGCAAGTGTGTTCGCATAGAGGTTTTCAAGAGCCGGTGTGAATAAATATAGATTTCAATTCAAAGAGACAGGATAGTCTGTGCATGATCTGATGTTTTATTCTGACCCAGAATAAGGCGAGATGAACATCGCGGAGCACTAAACACTCCATGCAGTGTATGTTTCATGCATACTCGAAGCTTGAGAGCGCTCTCGCGCAGAAAGTCATACCAGGAAATTCCTAACATGGACAAAAGCATCCAGCTATCGCTGTATGAAAACTATTGGTATTATTGGTTATTGTCCATCAGTTATCTGATTTCTAAGCCAATTTAAAACTAGAAATGAGAGAAAAATTAAAGTTGACTATACACTACCAGTCAAAAGTTTTTGAACAGTAAGATTTTTAATGTT